CCCCCCCCCCCCCCCCCCCCTCCAACCCCCTCCAGCCACGCTACTCTGCGTCTAATCGTCCATAAAGTCGATGGGAATTCGTTATCGATATTCTATATGCGAAAACAGACTACCGTCTCCGACCCCATGCGCTCTTTCTCATCCAGTCTGTAATAGGATTTCGTTAACTTCATCATCTGTTGACAAGAGGCTGGCATCGATTTTCGCCATTTTCTCAAGCGAGACAACTTCGGAAATCTCCTTTACAACTTGAAAATCGGATATTACGCTCGGCTTACGCGTATACAGAAAGCTATCGCATCCTCACGAAAGATAATACACGAGGCGTCGCTTATATTTTATTTCACGGATAAGCAAGGATAGGAAGTAACCGCTCGAGCTGGAAGAATATTTGGGGATAAAAAAAATGGGCGCCTGAGTTAGTGGATGTGTGGTAGGGGATGTCGAGTTAGTTGGTCGCTACATTCCAAAGACGTTCGATGAAAAAATTTCGCAAGACATAAAGCGTCTATTAATACAGGGACTATTAACGGGACTCGAGCCCTAAGTCGCGCTACTACTCATCATCTGTGGGTCGTCGAACCCCTCAATGATTGTCGAAACTCGAATAGTAGCCCTCGAGAATAAATACATTAATGAGGCCGAACGGTGAAACGAGCCCATTTTACGTTTTTACGTTCGCCTTGCACTTTTTTTATTTACTATCGATAGAGAAAACGAGCGCTTACGTGCATGCTACCTCATTTTCCATTAGCTCTTTAATTTGCATTATAATTTTTCATTCTCGCCGTTCTATTTAATCGACCATTACCCCGGACCCGCTATTGCCTAAACATTTTCAATATTGCTTATTTATAAATTCTGATAAATAACGGTAAATTTTCATTACTCAATTTTTACAATGCATATTACACTATTTTATAATATCGGCATTAGTTAAATCACAGTTTCATTCATAGACAATTCTTTTTCATTTTGTTAAGCGCAATGTCGCGACGCTCCTTCGATATTATTATAACTTTTAATTTTCCGTAGCTTATAACCATAAGATCATGGATTTAAAATACATGTTAAAACATTATAAATGCAATTTACTTTGATTTGCGATAAAATGAGAAAAACTTAAGTTTTTACAATTTCTTCTTTATATTTTTTCAATTCCTTGTCTTCGTCATTATCACCCCTCCCACCTTCACCCACCTTATATCGAGGCTATGACTGACTGCATTTCTCGAAGGGAATAAGTATTTTGATTTATCGAATTGAAATTCCGAATCTCATCAAGTCCTTTTGCTGCACTGCGGCTTAAAGTTCGACTGATAAAGTTACGTTCTAGTTAAAAAAAAGCTGTCGTTTCTCCCCCCCCCTCCCCCTTCCCTCCCTCCACACCTCCCTCCACACCTCCCTCCACACCAAATTGAGGCGCATTTTAAATTTAATCGTGCTCTACTGCTGGGGCAATACATCCTATGAACGCAATACAATTATCGTTTTAATGCAACGAAGGCATTCATACTCGAGAGTTTACCAAACGTGAGAACAAGCCCAAGCCGTGGCTTGATGACATTTCAAAGCGAAAGCTTTGTCGAATTTACGATTGACTAGATGTACGTTACATGTTACGGGGCTATAGGTTGACGTCAATGACTGTCTTTCTGTTCATTCTTACACACTAGTTTCATGCAAAGGATTGTCAAGTTTCATAATGGCATAATGTCCTTTGTACTGCACGATTTTTTATATTTACATACCGCGAACTTACAGCAGATATTATCTATTTATTAGAAAAATTCATTCATAATTCATATAATTGACTAGCAATGACGCTGGTTACAATAATCGAAACACTCTAATATCCAAATAATCAAACTTTATGGTACATCAATGAGTATTTACAGTGGAATTTTTATATTATATGCGTATTATTAATTGCACTGTGATATTAATAGTTAAAATTTATTAAACAATATTGTATATTTGTGTGGTAATAAATGAATTTTGATTTGTTCCCTTGGAAGGGCAGAATTTCTTATGCGGGCAATTGATAGTTCATTAATTCGTCTCAAAAATTAACTGGAAACTATTTGAAAAAAATTTATTCAAAGTCATATTTTCTTCATAAAAATATTTAAAAATAAAATATCTCGTGATAATTATGTTCATAAATTTCCACTGTATATTCGTGTCTGCTTAATATGCTTAATTTTAGACTGAATTATTGAATTTCTCAGACGAAGTTAATTATATCGTCATCTATTGTTATTATTTCTTGTGCTTCTGATATTCAAGTGGCAAACTGAAATGCGTGTAATTTCTTTATTCTTGCTTTTCCTTCGTTTTTCTTCTTTTTGGTTTTGTTTTTACGACATGACTTTTCTCAATTATATAAATGCATTGTTTTCAAGTGTAAAAATAGATCAAGATTTATTCTTAAATAATTACATAGAACACATCACGAATAGCACATTACTTTACTTTTCTAATCTGCTTGCCAACTTCTTTCCAAGTTCTAAGTTGTGATTTATATTTCTAGCGTTCGTCTATTGTTAGCATAGTCAAAAGATAAATAATTTAGTATTTGTGAGAATGAGAGGACAAAAAAAAAAAAAAAATTATTAAAACCGTTAAAAATCCAGAATACTTAAACAATATATGGATTACTTTATAAAGTATTTGCATTTTGCTAATGTTTTCTAGCCCCCAGAAAAGACTAGAAAATTTTGAAAATATCAGTACTTTTACTAATACGTTTTGTATGCATTTAGTTTGTTCCAAATATTTTGAGGTCTTCATTTGTAAGATAGGAGCAAAGTAACGTAAAAATAAGGTTTTTCGTATTTTTCAACATACCGTACAGCCGAAAAGTTGAGTTTTCAAGATTCAACATATAAAACAGATAAAAATACGATACATGTAGAAAAATTGCGAATGTCGTTATCGTACTTTCCAAGTTATTTTATTTAAAAAATTTTTTTTTTTTTTTGGGAGGACGGCGGGGGCGGGGTTGGGGGGGGGGGGGGTTTGGGGGGACCCCTTAAAGATGAATCTACACTAACTTTGAGGCATTGGTTATATTCTGCAACAGCATCTCGTGTACGCCTATTTTTTCAAATTGTATCCATTTATCTTTTGAAATTGGTTTTTTCGAAAAGTGGAGCTCGAGTTTATCGCCTATTATAAAGAGAGAAATGCTTTAGTAATCCAGATCGCATAAATTAATAACAATTATTGAAAATTTCCAGAAATCTAATCCAGACGTTTAAGTTGCCGAGCTAAAATTAAAACAAAGGGTTTTATGATCGATAAAAAATGACTTATGAACAGCACAATTTAGCGTTAATAAAGTATGTTGTCACAGCCATCAGGATTAACAGGAAAGGCATTAGATAATAGCATCGATCTGTTACTGAATCCATCAATTGGATCGACCTAACTTAATTACAAGCAGAGAGGCATCAAGAATACCTACAACGCTGCTTATCTAAGGTATTTCCGCACAAAGAGATTAATGATTCCCATGTTAATCTCGGCGTTCGTGCCTGATTTTGAATTATTTTTCAATAATATATACGATATATATATATATATATATATATATACATATATACATATATACATATATACATATATACATATATACTCACCCTTACTGTCTTCTTTGATATAGTATTATCCATGCACGGAAGCCCTTTGCACTGAAAATATGAAAGCATTGCATTAGATAGAAAAATACTCTTACTTATATCTTATGTAATTTTGGAAAATTATAAATTGATTACTTTCATAAATCTTGTACGAAATATTTTTAATGTCAAAACAATTATTTTATATTTATGTATATGTATATATATAATTGTTGTAAGGATTGTTTGCTATTGTTGTTATGTAATTGTTGTAGGGATATGGATTTATATATATATATATATATATATTTTTTTTTTTTTCTTTCTTTAATGCACCATTCGTTTTGTAATTCAATACATTATATACGCAATATATTTGCCCATTTCTTTATTATACATTGTTATAAGCTGCTGGGCATTGAAATAATTATCTTTCCTCGAAATAAATTGTAAGCTACGCATAAATGGAATAGATAGTTTAAGGGGAAGGTAAAAGGGATTTATATGTATGACTGCGGGCTATATTGATTTTTCCTTCGAAAAATTTCACGCGCGAAGAGATATTTGGCGTCTCCCTTCCTTAGAAACTTGGAAATCATGAGACATCCGAATTCATCTCCCCCCCCCCCTACCCATCCATCCCCCTCCAGCCAATCTCCTCCATCCAGCTATACTTTCATCCAGATATACGCGTGCGTCTGAAGCTTCTGCTTAGCTGTGAAAACGACAAAGTGCCACCGGCGAATTCCATCCCGTTGAAATAGCATTGCAGCCAATAGGACAAAAAAAAAAAAGAAAGTGACGTAAGATTACATAAATAAATGAAATCATCGAGTTAAATTATCCTAAGATCGAACAGTCGATTCGACTCGACAAATATAAAAGATCTAGATACGGAGCGTAAATTTTGCAGACGAAGCGTCGTATTTATGAAATTGCTTTGTTATTACAGTTTAATGTGAAATCGCGGAGGAAGCTGTATTAGTTATTCAGACGGGCGCTTTAATAAATTGCAAGGCCTAACGTTCAATTTTAATATTATGCCTTGATTAGGTTGTTCCGTGGGGCGGGAAAATGGCGCGACGTTTCACCCGGTGATGTAAGAGTGGAGTAACGTCAGTTGGGAAATGGATCAAACGGAGGTTGACTAAAAATATTTTAGGGACTCCCGAGTTGTCCGTCGAAGTTTTACGAAAATCCAAGGATTGCACATGGAGAGATGTATGCACCCACGAATCTTCTCAGAAACCGTGCAAAAGTAAAAGTGAGAGCGATCCAAGTTGGGCAAAATTATTACTCGAGACATTGTGATAGATAATTACGCGTAACTCTACATATGTATTATGGCGAGCGTCGATTAATATAAAGAAGTAATATATCGTTGTGAGACGCCTTGCGGAAAAAAAAAATCAATCGGGCTTCCGGAGTATATAGGAGCTGTATTATCCCAATGTAAAGCCCACCGACTTGGCCTTTCTATATCATAAATATTCCAAAGCGTTGCATAGAATATCTTTGCGCCCTTTAAGTTCTTCACCTGTAATTTTAAAGTCTCGACCAATAGGCGCTCTCTAAGCTAAATCTTCCTTTTTACGTCTCTCATTACGTCGCGACATTACAATATGTGCCCTCGATTGCCCGAAATTGGTTGGCCGAGATAACTCAGCAATGCCATAAGCGGATCCAAATTATTCATTGGTCAGGATGGTTCGTGGAGAGTTAAGAAAAGACGACCGAGAGTCGACAGAAGAAAGAGGACAGATGGATGCTCGTAAGCGAGGCATCCAGCATGTCGAAATAAGCTACGAAACGGACAAGATATCAGTATGGTTAAACCTATCGTTCACCTGTCGTCCGACGCCTCGCGCCACTGCTCGGAGAGTGAAACGATATATTATTAGAAGCAGAGTAATTCCCTATTGGCTATTTAACTTTGCGATCCCTTAGTCGGGCAATATGAAGCGAAAGGCGCCGTAAGGTGAGGCGTCTGTCACTTTCAATACAACCGCATCTAGGGCTCAGCGCTCATTGTCGTCGTAGCTTTCTAAGTTGATAATCGAAATGCATTCGCGAGTGACAAAAGTGCTCGTTATCTACATTGTTAACTTATTCGAATGAGCTACTGCAAATCAATGAGCGACGGATGAGCTGTGCAGCACGACGATCGGCCCCTCTTCACAATTTTCATTATGACTTGCCGTTACGGAAGCTGGCTTAATCTTTAAAAAGTCCTCTCTTACCCTCCCGCTCCCGCCGACTTTCATCGCACCATCTCCCCCCCCCCCCCCCCCCCCCCCCCCCCCCCCCCCCCACCTCCTACCACTACTCCTCTCCGCCCTCTTCGTCCTCTCCACCTTCTTTCCCCTCTCCCACTATCCCTCTATCCCTCCCATTTTCCTTCTCAAGCTCACTCTCCCACTCGAAAGCGTTCGCGAATTCCAGACTCGGAAGTTGCCGGAATCGCAGGAGGAAGCGGAAAGCGCCGTACCCTTCCGACTCATCGAGCCGAGCGGCCATCGACAAACCTCTTCGTTCCTTCTCTTCTCTCCTCCGCCTACGCCGCCACCTTGCCCTCCCCGCCTCTCGCCATTCAGCCTTTAAAAAGTGATCGAAACTCCCTTTGCCGTTGAGCGTTTTGTATCGAGTTGTTTTCTTCTACGTCGCTTCCTCGGCTCTCGTAAAAGCTCGTGTACGACGAATCAGTTTGTTTGCTCGCGGTTAAATCGAATTGCGCGAGGTGACGTTCGTTCATGAGGTGGTCGCTCAAGTGATACGGAATCCTCAAAATTCGTTATATTTATGGGACTCTGCTCCGACTGCTTTAGCGAATTTTTGAAAATTTCCCGGCTGCGAAGCATTGTGCATTGTACAAGCTGCGACATTGAAACTGGCTGATCCGACTGATCGACGATTCGATTTTTCACCAAACCGCATCTAATCGACATCGTTCACGTTCCTTCCGCCTTCCTCCCAGTTACTACAATTCCAGGATAATTACGCTCATTTGCATATTTGCCATTTTCCATGTCTTGTCCACGAGATATCTATCTTATTATCCGCAAACCAACTCAACGTTCGACAATATCTTCTTCCCCGCGTCTCACTCTCAATTATTTCAAGCATCAAATTAATCTTTGACATGGCGACGAATGTCACGGGCGCGCAAATCTTCGCTAGTAAATCGTCCCTATTAACCCATTTTGAGCTTGGCATTAGCTCACTCGCACCCTCGAGCAATTTTGCATTAAATCGATGCGCCTGCGCCACTAGCTGATTCACTCTCGTATTTACGCGCGAATACGTATTGAACATGCGGAATATATCGTTTTCAGTTGGCGACTTTTCATCGATCGATCGAGATGAAAAAAAAAGTCGCTTTCTTTTCGCCATTGTAAAAGCGACGAGTCGACGAAGAAATAGATAAAAATGTCTAACGACAAACGCCGCTCGCGATTTATCGCCAAAACGAGGTGAACGCCTTCTTCTCAATTGCTCTCGTTTCTCAAGACGGACGAGAGAGAACGAGAGAGAACGAGAGAGAACGAGAGAGAACGAGAGAGAACGAGAGAGAGAGAGAGAGAGAGAGAGAGAGAGAGAGAGAGAGAAAGAGTGGCGGGCTATTCACGCATTTAGTAGACACGAATGAGACATGCGATGCGCGGGCTTTCGTCTCTCGGTTCACGTGCTGCACGAGAGCGCCGACGGCTAAGGATCGCTGCGAACTGCGAATAAAGCGCTTAAGCTTTGCCGGCTTGAAGGGGAATCGGGGAGTGGGGCTGATAAAAAGGAGTCGTCAATGGCGAAAAAGTAAGTGCCAAGTAGAAAAAGTTGTCGTCTCGAAACCGTCGCTCGATATTCAGCACGCGACGACGTATTCGACCTTCCTCGTCCGTTCAGCTCTGACTGTCACCTAGGAAATAACGGGCTCCAGCAGCTTTCCGCTATCAAAGACGAGCCTTTAGGCTCGGACCTCTTCTAATAATCGGCCCTAGGTTCGCTCTAGGTTCGAAGAGTCGCGAGGTGCCGACGAGCGGCTGCACACCCCGACTCTCAACGTTAATGTCATAATAAGTGCCTAGACGGAATATGTCTGTTCCGGGGGGAGCAAGTGAGACGCACGACCGTGAGGGTTAAGAGTCTACGAGGTCGTACGAATAGGGGTAACAGTAGTCACCTTGGGTTCCCGGGCGATGATCTCCTGGCGCCTCGGCTCCACGGCCTCACCGTTGGCGTATACGAGGTTTCTAATAAGACCCTTGAACCTCGGCTCGAAGATGACACTCGGCAGCGCCAGAAGGGTGAGCTTGCTGCTGTACCAGCTGGGCATTCCACCGACGTAAATGTCCGAATTGCCGCTGAACTGTCCCAGCTGGAACTCCTTGCCGCGGGAGATTGAGCTCGCGGCGACCCCGTCGACGGCGAGGCTCGTGTTCTCTCGGTCGCGCAGCACGCGGACCTTGTGCCATTGGCCGTCGGCGAGCTTCCGTCCGACGGTTACTATCTGCGCCCCGCCGCCGAGGTTGTACCTCAGTCTGAGCGCGCTCTCGACGAGCTTGATCTCGACGAAGTCGACAGTGCCCCCGTCGTCGGTGTAGAGAAGAAGCCCGTTGCCCTGCTCGGTCTTGAACTCGAATTCGAGACTGCCGTTGAGGGCGGCGTTCCACTTGGGGAAGCGCGCGTGGCTTGTCGCGGAGCCGTCGAGGAGGAGGCCGCGCGCCACATGCCAGGGCCCATAGGCCAAGAGCGTAGCCGCAGCTAGCAGCAGTGGCCTCATGAGCCGATACGGCCCGCTTACAGCCGGGGCCTCGCGCATCCTCGCGACCTCAGAGGCGCGCCGCCGCCATCGCGTGACCGCCGCGAGCTCCCTAACCTAGCTATCGCTGCTGCGCCGATCGATGCGCGCCGGGTCGCCGCGATCGCGCCCCATAACCCGACTCAGAGAGCCCAGCCGACGAGGATGGCAGCCCTGCCTCGATGTTTGATGGCCCGAGGGGCCGACAGCCGACCACGGGCGCGTCTCTAGCGTGTCACCTGCCGCGCAGCGAGACTCGCTGGGCATCACTCCAAGGGGCGATCCTCTTCGCGTACGCGTCGCCGACGACTGGCGAGGGCTGCGCCGAGGAGCAGCGCGAGCTTTCTCCTCGGGTGGGGGGGGGGGGTTTAAGAGCTGGTTGCGCGCACGCGCCCATCTCCCCCGCCTCTCCCGCCCTTGGCGACCTCCCCGGCCCACGGTTCCGCAAGCGCGCTATACACCAACGTCCGCCACCCCCGATGGCATCCAACTACCCGCCCTCCATCCCTCCATACTCCTGTAAACCGTCATCCCACCCCCCGTCCTCACCCCTCATCATCTACCTCGTTCACGTCCTCCTCTCCCGACCCCCATCCACTCAACGAACCACCACCGTTCCCCCGTTACCCCGCTAATCTGAAGATAACGTGGCTCTAAGCGACTGCGGATACTACTACTAGGCCCAACGTGACGGATTAAACCGGGGAAGCGCTTGCACGTGGTTCGAGTCGCGGGACCGACGCCTAGACTCCTTCGAGCGCCTGGTTCGAGCGCCAATTGACCATTCCGATACTCACGTGTACGTCCAATATATATATATATATATATATAACTTGCAAGAAACTTGGACAGGAATGAGATAGAGTAGGAAGCTTCGAGGAGTTAGCGGACGCTTTGGCTTATGAATTATGCAATACTTGGTAAAGTATGTTATTCCAAGGAAAGGATCATTACGGCTTATTGGTTGAAGCAACTCGTTGATTTGAGAATGTAATTGAAAGAAAGTCAAAGAGGAATCGTTACTTAATACGGTAAATGCACGACATTTCGGATGCTGCGCAAACAAGCTTTTGAGCATTTGTTGGGCAAAAGTGGCGAAAAAGTGACATTCATCTTAGATTCGCAAATATAATACCCATAACGGGCAGGATCTCCTTGGAATATCTTTACCCTCGTTAATTCATAATCATTTATATGCCCTGTGTTATAGAATATTCAATGTTGTCGCGATAATAATTTTATACGCTCGTGAAAATAATCGCACATAGAAATTTCATAAAGATATGTGATAAATAAAGATTCTATTCGTTCGAACGATTAGCATTGGACAGCATATTAAAGAATAAATTTCAAATCGAATTGGAAATGATAGCTTCAATGATATTGCTTATATCAGAAATTTTTAAGAACTGTTTTCTGCATTAGCTAATAATGTTTTAACGCTTGTTCGAGGGGACTTACTTTTTCTTTTTCTTTTTTTCTTTTTTTTTTTCTTTTGTTTTGATTTATCGATAGATTCTTATTATGATAATTTCGATTAATAATTTAAACCTATGTAATTGCTAAGACTCAGTGATCGTAATATAATAGTAAGGAAATTTTTCTTTTTTTTTTAACGGCTTATTGATTCTTTATTCGAATTAAATTTATTCGTATCTCAAAAATTCGGCTTTCTTTAATTTGGCTTATATTGAAAATTTTTTTAAACGCACTTAATGAGAAATGGCTAATTAAGCTGAGCAGCAGAGACGATTTGTAGGTAAAAAAAAATTTCTAAAACAATAATTATTAAACAGTGAAAAATTCATATATTTTTAATAATGATGATAACGATGATTTTAGTATAAATGTTGACTCTATCAGACATAATAAACTTAATACATATTAATCAATTTTATTACAAATAACAAGTAAAAAATAACAAAACAAACATATTAATCAACTTTGTAGGTGAAAAATAATGTTTAATAAAGTACATTTGTAAACTGAATTATGCACTTAGCTGGGTAATTATATTAATTACGACGATATGATAAGTCATTCGGCATATAGTATGGATGAACTTATTAAAAAATATCATAAATATCAATTAAGAATGAAAATGGAAATGAAAGTTTTTACATTGGTAGGTTTTATGAAACTAAACGAATGAAATTGCAAATATTTTCAATGAAAATGCGAGATCGTCCATTCAACCAACAGTTATCACGTGCTGTAATATATAATTACATGGATAATATGACAATGTAAGTTGACGAGTAATGGACATATAACCACGGCATTCTTGGCTTAACAAAAATAATAAACTGTCAGTCAATGGAAAGGATCAAGTCGTAAATTGAACAGCTCGAGGTTCTTTTGCGAGGGAAAAACTGTCGCGGTCCAGTTTGCTCAGCCCTTGCACACTATTACAAAGCGTCTATTTACGTTTTCACTATTCAACGGGGCGCCTTTTTAAAAGCTAGTCTGGCTTTCAATTTGCTAATTGACAATATAATACACATTGTTGAAAAAGACAGCGGCCCCCAATTGCGAGAACAGCATTGCCAGCATTAACTCGCGAAAGCTCTCTTGCACGATCAAGATTAGCTTTGTAACAGAGGCTCAATCCTAAAAGATAAATAAAAGTAAGAGGCGCTTAAGGGCGACCAGTTTATTGTATGGCGAGAACGGTAGGTGTGCGGGTTAAAAAGAGGTCGCAACGAGGCAAAAAGAGTGGTAAGAGAGGTAAGAGAGGTAGGGAAAAACGAGGGAAGACAAATAATTATGGAGAAAAGAGGGGCAAAAGTGGAGGGAACGCGACGGTGGCTCGAGGAAGCAACCGAGTTAGCGGCAACAGCATCATTTCCTTGGCTCCCTTCTCTCTTCTCTCTCTCTCTCTCTCTCTCTCTCTCTCTCTCTCTCTCTCGCCGCCTTTTTGTTCAGCGCCAGAGGGAATAAGACATAGGGACTCGGGGACAACGTCAAACTTTTCAAATTAATTTCTTGTGGATGACGCGCCGCGGTTTATTGTAAAAACACGGATACTTACTATTATTCAACGCCGGCCGAGCTCGAGGAAAGGAAGGAGGCCAAGATAGACACTTTCTTCCGGTGGGCGGCTCTCTTTAACGCTCGAAAGAAGATTTTCTCGTTCGCTACAGCCGCTGCCTACGTCTAAAGCCTCCTCCATCTAAGGCTAAGGCCGATCGCTCGGCACTCGCGCCTTTATTAAAAGTTCGTCGAAAGTGAAAAGTGGACGGGTCGGTGGTGGGACGAGGAGATAAAAGAAACGAAGACAGGCCGCGTATCCTCGGGGCAAAGTCTTAGGCATATAGCGGGGCACGCCGCTGCAGTTGAAAAGCCAGCCAGTTCCGGCGACCCAGTTGAAGGGTCGGGCAGGGTGGTTGAAGGGGGCCGGCGGCTCACGGGCGCGGGTTTTGCCATCCGCATGTCGAAACCGCGGAAAAGCCAAGCAACTCAACCGTAAGTCTGACTACGACGAGTGGACTGTCTCCCCGTTTCTTCGAGCTTAACATATTAAACGGAGTGTCGTTTGGCCTCGTGAATGGAATGACCCGTTATGGGTCCAAGTCGCTTTCGCCTCTTAAGAAAAAAAAGGGCTTGCGCTGTCCTGTAGGAATTAATAGGATTGGCAGGGAGCTGATCGAAAGCCGCGATGAGTCTTCAACGATACCAACAGTGTCACTAATACCGCAATCGTTTTTGTATCTGCGCCTCCCATTCTCTTGTCACGTCCAGGTCCGACTTTTCATGTAGTTTTCCGCGAGGCCGTCTGCCGCGGAATTCCAAATATCCAGCAAAATCCCGAATATCCCGTTTGGCTGTCTCCTTTGCTGGCCGCGAGGGACGGAGAGTTATAACGGAACTTATAACGCAATCGGACTGGCAGCGAAATCGCCAAGCTGCGCTTCATGCAAATAAATACAGACGGGGAAGCACGAGGCCGTTCGTTTCGAAACTAATTTACTTTATTAACTATATATCAATGGTATTTAGCGTGGCCGAGTCAGCTTGAGTACTCGTGACTGTGCGGCCGCTCGTTAAGCCACATACCCTTAATATGCGCGCGCGCCCATCCAATTTTATGGCAGCCACCGAGCCGCTCCCCGTTATTCCGCCAAATATTAATTACAATGCGGGACAATGAGATTTCGGGCGCTGGCCACGCGGGCCAAAATCCTATTTCATAAATTCTTACGCTTGTGCTGAATTGAGAAACGCGTGTCCCGGACGAGCGGCAAAACCTCGCCTACATTGTCCCGAGTTTCTCAAGCAATTGCGGCGTTATTAACGAGGGTATTGTCACCGATGAAGGTTGCCGACTCTTTTTTCGGTGCTGATTGACGAGAGGGGCGGGAAAGGGGACGAGAGGCTAATGCTCATGAAATTGGCCAGCGCAGGTGATTCGTCATTTGCATGAGAGTCGAACGCAATTTTCGTTTCATCCGCTGCGCAGTACTTCGTTAATTTGGTCATCCGCGAATCATCTATTCGTCCGCGGACAGCCGGGGATCGAAGGGGCCGCAGGGCCCGACGAACGACGAGCAAGTAGAAAAACCCGGCACACTAGTAGATTACAACCGAGTCGAGTCGGCCGATCGTGACACGCGCCATCTGATTGTAAAGGCTCGCAACTAGGAA